GATAGGAGTTAGCAAAGAAAACGTGCAATTTTTGTCGTTTTCAATTTTCTAACTTTTTGGATATAGCTATCACTAAACATAACACTAAACTTTTCATCTCTTCATCGAATTCATTTTGATCATTTCCTAGGATTACTTCAACTTAAATATGAAAACTTCAATTTTCAAACTGTTTTTGTCTGATTAGTATCACTTTCCTTTTATGCAAACATCAAGATCAGTAGCCAACTTACTTTCATCTTCGTTTTCGTCATCGCCATCGAGCAGTGGTCTCTCGATTTCCGACTCATTGTCAGAGCCTGACACTTGCCGAACTCGAATTACGTAATCTGAACCAATAATCTTTGGGCGTATCTCGCAACGCCTTTTTCCAGTTCAAAGACAGCAGAGAAAAACGAATGGAGGAAACAATGTAATGTCAAAGGGATTTGAAAGGGAGACAGAGACCTACCGGAGTTATTTGGTACGAGATACGTTTTGGGGTCGCAAGCATGCACTCTGTGCACGCTTGATGGCAACTCGAGAAGATACCAATAACTAAAAAAATAACGATTCTTTCCATTAAAAGCAAACAAAGTTAGGGATGACAAATGAAAGGCGAAAATGGAAGCAAGTGTATAAAAAGGAACTGACGAAATAAGAAATGGCAACTAACGTGTAGGCGAATATCATTGGAATAATCAACATGCTGTAAAGAGCGGCTTGTGGAGAAAAATGTAACATTAATGGATCAGTGAGGATGGCATAGGCCATAGCACCTATTATTCCAGCACCTCCTGTGCCCGACGACCACATTGAAATCACTTTTCTGTAAAAAAAAGCTATGAATTAACATGATTAGAATGCGCTACTATAGTGGACTTACGCATCAAAATATGACGCAAGAGCCAGGTACGAAATCTCACCTAAACCAGAACCCCAACTGGCAACGACAACCCCTAAAAATACCAGGTCAACGAAGTAAAGCTAAAAAACAAGTCCTCACCTAATAAAGCCATAGAAACACTACTACTAGATCCGACTAGTATAAAGCTTAACATCTGCGCAACAACAACAAGCAAATGTCGGAGACTGAAAAGAGACTGTGTAAACTATGTACCGTAGGGTCGACAATCTGATTTGAGAAAAGTTCAACTCACCCAAACGGTATCATTTGTATGTACAAAGGAGCAGTAACTTTAACTACTAAAGCAGGTATGATATCAGCGAGCAACACAGCACCAGTCGACAATTCATGACATTGGCGGTCAACAATCTTTTCCTATAAGTATCTACCAAGTTGAACAGCGAAGCGCATAAAGCATAAATGAAAGCTCAGAGAAGGAGCCCATGGGAAATGCTTGCAATTTTTGCATTCTAATTCACATTTCTGGAGGTAAGAAATTCGGGAATAAGAAACGTTTTGAGTTGATGTAAA